CACACAGACTCCTCTCTCCCTTTCAGCTTCCCGGATGAGCTCCCTAACAGTTGTCTGTAAGTGTCTTGCTTGAGAAGGCAGGATGCTCCCCTGCCCATATCAAAAGCTGGTGAGCAATCAAGAGTGCTGGTTAGGAATGAGACAACCACCAGCCCAGGGAGCTGGCTTTGGATTCCTGCCCCTCCCCACGTCTCAGCTAAGTATACCCCACTGCTCCTGGACCTCGAGGTATGAAGCAGGCCTATGGGCTGCTCAGGAAGTGCATTGGAGAGTGTGTTCACTCTCCTCAGGCTCCAAAACCCATCCACGGCTGTCTCAGGGCACACTGGCTGGGAAACTGGCTGGGCTGTAACTATAGAAGATTCTATTTCTGTCCAACTGTTGCCTGACATGAGAATCCTTTGAAAGCAGAACAGTGAGGTAGTGAAGGTAGGTGTATGGTGGAGACCAGAGCCAGAATGGGTTAGCCAGAGGGCTGTGCTTCTCCCAAGCAGAACCAAGGGTTCCTTGCTGTCCCCTCCCCCCTTTTGTCTTCTGCTTTTGCCTCTGGTCAGGAAAGAAAATTGAGTGGGGATAATCAATCCCAAGCCTGTAAAATCCTCTCCCTTCAAGGCCCCAGTAGTGGGCTTCCAGCTCTTATAGTGCATCTGCTTGAGCAGCTGCCTCTGTGGCAGCCACCTGCCCCCTGCCTGTTCTGCTGCATAGATGTCAGGCAGGGGAGAGCCTCCGGTGCCCTGGGGAGCAGCGCCTGCTCCTCAGCTGTGGCTGCGTGAGGGCTGTCACCCTCCCCACCGTGGGTTGAATGAACTTTAGGAGCTGGGGATTCATCCCCACCACCAAAATCCAGCTCATACCCGCCAATGCTGACAGTTGGAGGCAAGTTGCCCTGGGGAGTTGAGAAGGATCCCTGCCGAGGACAGGCACAGGCTGGACCTTGGGATTCCAGGATGGTGCTTACAGGCCCTGCAGCTAGGAAGTAGCCCAAGGACTTCAGAGCCCACTAGTGCCTGGCACAGCGTCCTCTGTAGCTAGAAACAAGATCTCTATCTTAGATTTTTAAAGGATTAAAAGAAACAGTTTGCACCTTTCTGTAGGGACTTCCTACTTTAGCCAAACTGGCCTAAGAGCCATCTGTGGTGGAAGCAGACATCTCTGCCCCTGCTTGATAGCACACCTCACTTACCTGGCATTAGCCACTGAAACAGGCAACTCCAGCCCCAGATCCTACAATTTATACCTTGGGCAGTTCTCCAAACTTCTAGCCAACCCTCAGCTGGGTGGTTCCCAGAGGAGGGCTAGGTTCTACATGATCTCATGGCCTCTAAGATTGCAGGGCGGCAGTGGGGTCAAGGTTGATTCTTAGTGAGGTCACACAGTATATGGGTTCAGTGCTTGGGCTTTGTTAGTGGAGAAATTTAGTCCAAATCCTAGCTGCTCTGCTCACCAGCTGTCTTGGGGTGTCAGCTTTGACTTCTGAGCCTGCTAGCTCATCTCTTGAGAGTGAGTGGCACTGTGGTAGCTCTAGTCCCTGCCTGCCCATTGCCTGCTGTATGTTGTCCTCAAGTGAATCACATATCCTCTCTGGGCTCCACTTTTGTCCGTAAATAGGTTATGATCTCTCCCCATTCTGCCTCCCAGAAATAGTAGGCAGTGAGAATGCACACATATGGACCTTTGGATGTTCCCTGTGAATACAAACAACTAATCTGAATTTCCCCTAGTTATATGCTCTAAGAAAAAGCTAAGAAGCACACATGGCCTCCAGCCTATGTGAAACTTAGAAAGTAAAGAAGATCTAGGGCCGTGTGTCTCCCCCAAATGCCAAGAGAGACTTTGGAGTTGTTGATGGTATCGCAGGAATCCAGCATCAGCTCCATTTTTTTAGTGCTGCTGTGAGAGCTGTTTGACTTTCCTTCACCCTAGAACCTGTTGCTTCTCTCGCTCTTGCTCTCGCTCTCACTCTCACACACACACACACACACCCACACACACCCACATCACTCCCAGCAATCTACTTTCCCTAGGTCTATTCTCCCCATATTGTCATTTATCCTCATACCTCCATCTGCTCCCCCAGGCCTTGGGGTGCAAGTCATTTGGGCTTGGGAACTGGGGACACTGCTGCTGCTTCTGACAAATTCCCAGGAGGGATTACCCAGGTATTGGTCTCTTGGGAAATTTTGGAGTAAGTTAGTGGTTAGGGCTAGTCTTGGTGGAGTGGTTAGGGCTAATCTTGGTGCTTAGGTGGATGGGAATGTGAAGGCTCATCTCATGTAGGTCTGTGACCCCTGGAGAAGGCCCTCCAGGGGACAGTTAGGGGAACACCATGTGAGTTTCTGACCATTCCTCTGATTCCACTTCCCTCCACCCGTACACTAAAGACCTTTTCCTCCAGAGGTTTGGTGTGGCTGGTATCTCAGGCCCCTTCTCTTAAAGACCCTTCCAGGTGTCAAACAGTCTCATATGGAGTTCACACTTTGATAAGCCTGAGTTTTTGTGCACTGTTCCCCTTTTTGACTTATAGTTCCAGGCCATGGAGAGAAGAGGGGCTTCCTATCTTCTTCCATCTATGATCAGTCTTGTAAAGGTCGGGGAAGGAAAAGCAGATAGAATCAGAACAGGAATCCTGCTGGAAAAGCCAGCACCCTTGTAGTTGTTTACCTGGGGACCACAGTGACTGACGGTGTAGGTAGAGCCTTGGGAGTTTCCAGTGAGGACCCTGACCTCTCCAGGGCACTGCCAAGAGCTTCCTCCCAGGATGCTCCAGGTCTTGGCCTCAAGAAAGCTAAAGCTTTTGGCCTGATGTCTGATCTTGGGGTCTCTCCTTACTGTGAGGCGTAAGACTTATGCCTCAGCTTGTTCATACTGAAGAATGGAAGCCAACAGCTGTTGGGGCAAACTCCCTCTTGCTCGGCTTTCCCCCTCCCCAATCATCATAGAGATGGTTGTTTTCCCAACAGAAAGTCAGTCCCGTGCCCCAATAAAAGGTGCCACTTCTAGGTAGGAACAGTAGCCTGAGAGCTGAGAGGGATGGTTTAAGAGAGAAATAGGGCCAAATATTTGGGACCTGAACCACAAGTGTGGTTGTGGCCACAGGAGTATGGCCACAGGAGAGATGCTGGCTTTGTGCTGCTGAAGGCAGAAGGTTAGGCAGTGTGGCATGAGGGTGAAGATGTTGGATCCGGCCCCAGGGTAATGCATTCATTCTCTCTCCTTCCTTCTCTCCCTCCCCATAGGCTTGCAGCCCTGAGCGAGCGAGAGACTCGGCTACAGGAGGTGCGCTCAGCCTTCTTGGCCACGTACAGCAGCACAGTGGGGCTTCGGGCAGCAGCCCCCAGTCCCTCTGGTGCCATCGGGGGCCTGCTGGAGCAGTTTGTCCGTGGTGTTGGACTCCGGGGCACCAGTAGCAGCACCTCATGAAGCAGCCAGCCCACAACAGTTTCCTGCTCCTCTCTCACCTGAGCCCTGAATGGAATCAAAGCTATGCCTGGCCTAGGAGTGCTTCAAGTTCAGGAGAAATCTCGCTCTCCCTTCTCCATCATGCATATGGCAGCCCCAAAGCCAAGTAGGGCCAAGAACAGGGTTCTCCCACCTGCAGCTTCCTGACTGGTGACCTCCACCCATCTTGTTACTGCCTCCCACACACCCTAGTCTTTGCTGGGATTCCTGTCAACTCTCAGAACTGTGTGGGGTTTCCCTGGGGCCTTGTGGAGGCCGAGACTTCATGAAAGACCCCCACCTTCCCATTCTTGTTTCCTGGGGAGGAGGGGTCACCTGCACTGAGAATGAGGCAGTTTGACACAGATCACAAAATAAAATCAAAGTCTTTTTGAACAGCTGTTCTCTTGCATCCTCATTTGGTTGCTGTCTTTGTGGAGTTATTTGGAAGGTTCTCACTGTCCTTCCTTGTGCTGGAAGAAGGGGTTTTTATGGGGGGAGAGGCAGGTGAAAGAGGAAGAGAACTGGGGACTTGGGTGTGTCTCTAAACCCCTGAGCCACAATAATCTCAGTGACATGGGGACAAGTAGTCACAGGCTATTAAGGTGGGAGCAGTGGTCCTCAAGCCCAATTGGGCCCTAGTTACCTAGGGAGCCTGTTTATCCATGCAGATTCCCAGGGCTGGCTGAAATTTAGACTTGGGGTTGCTGAGATCTCCATTTAGCTGGGAAAGGAGAGATTGTCACTTGTAATAAGTTCCATAGGCAGCACAGTCCTGGTACAGGTGACCTGCAGCCCCTGCCTTAAGGAGCCCTGCCTGTGATGGAAGGACTGGCTTCTCGGGCTTTGGAGGCAGTAGTTGGTGTGGGGAGGATGGACCTGGCTGACCACTGCCCTCATCTACAGTGTGACCTAGAGTAGGTTGCATCCTCACAGAGTGTGTTTACATCTCTAACACCATGAAATCATAAGGGTTCAAAGACATGGGCAAAGGGTTTTGCACAGTGCTGTAACAGCCACCATTTACTGAGCTCTGACTCTTAACACAAAATAGGTCATCAGTGTGAATACCCAGAGGAAGGAAATAATACCAGCAAACATTTCTTGAGTACTTACCGTGTACAATCCCCTGTGCTAAATCCTTTCCATGGATTATCTGGATAAAATTTTATAACACCCCAAGGAGGTGCTATTATGGCCGTTCTACCAGTGATGAAACTGAGCCACAGAGATGTTGAGTAACTTGCCCAAGGTCACACAGCTAATAAGAACCAACGTGGAACTTTTTGTATTCAGAGACCTAGGCAAGGCGGAAATGGGAAGGGGGATAAGCAGATTGTTGAGGGAGCGGTTCAGGAAGAGGAAACGTCCCCAACGCCCACCCGGTGCCCCAAACCCTTCAGCACCGCGGACAGCTCTCAGGGGGCTTGGGTTTCGCCCCGCAGAAATGCCCTGAGGACTCTCCCAAGGTGTGGGGTGGGTAAGGTTCCCGGCCAGCTGGAGGCTGCTCCAATAGGGCGGGGGCCACCCGCAGGGCCGGGCGGGGCTGTGTTGCCATCCGGAGCCGCTGCGGCCGGCGGCCACAGTCAAGGCGCCAGCGGCCGGAGCGCACGCACAGCTGGAGGGAGGGCAGCCGCCGCCGCCGCGGCACACGGGCCGACCCCGCCGCTGCCGCCGCCGCCCCTAGCCCCGGCGGCCCCGGTCTCGCAGCCTCCCGCGGCTACGGCCACCGAACCAGCCATGTCTCTCAGCGGAGCCTCTGAGCGCAACGTCCCGGCCACCAAGATTGAAATTACCGTGTCCTGCCGGTGAGCGGGCCACTCTGGGGAGAGCTTAGGCAGTGCCCCAACCCCAACCGGCTCCGGGGCTCGGCGCGGACAAGGGCTAGACCCGCGGGGGGAGGGGAGAGAAGCTTCGGGGCGAAAAATCGCGGATGCAGACTCAGGGGAGTCGCTGGCGGGTTCGGGGTGGGGGTTTCCTTGAACAGCCCCACCCACAAAAGAGGGCTCAGCCTGCGGGTTCAAGGGATGGGTTGCGGGGGTCCAGTAGGATCTGGGCCCCCGGAGGACAAAGTTCTGGAGGCTAACCCTCTTTCCTGGGCCCTTGGAGACAGTCTGGACGCACACGCGTCCAGTCCGCAGAGACACGGTTCTTGGGCTGAGATTTCCGGTGCTGTCCAGGATGCTGACAACGCAGACCCCGGCTGGGTGTAGTAATGGGGGAGGGAGGTGCGATTTGAGCCCCATGCCTTCCCCGGGGACCCAACTCAGGGCAGAGATGAGGCGGTGGGCACCGGGATGATCCTCTGTCCATTTGCCTGTCGCTTTCTCTAGGAACCTGCTGGACCTCGACACCTTCTCCAAGTCCGACCCCAGTAGGCGGCGCCCAGGGCGGGAGTGGGTACCTGGGGTCCGGGCGCGACTGACGGGCGAGGAGGGGGTGCGCCCGACCTGACGTCCTTCCCTCCCTGCCCTTGCTCCTGCCTGCAGTGGTGGTGCTTTACACGCAGAGCCGGGCCAGCCAGGAGTGGCGGGAGGTGAGTCCCAGAGCCCTCTCCCAGCCCAGAGCCGCCCCCGGGAATCACCTGCCCCCTTGCAGGCCTCGCGCTGACTCTCCAACCCCCATCCAGTTCGGACGGACCGAAGTGATCGACAACACGCTGAACCCAGACTTCGTGCGCAAATTCGTCCTAGACTATTTCTTTGAGGAAAAGCAAAATCTGCGCTTTGATGTGTGAGCCCCGCCCAGAATTCTGGCTTGGACCGCCCCCCACCCCCACCCCCCGACCTGGATACGCCCGAAATTCTGGCCGGCCCCGCCCCGCCTGGCCTCCCGGCCTGGCTCCTCCCCGAGGCCCAGTTTGGTCCCACTCTGAAGAGCTCCACTCTAGTCTTAGCTCCGCCCCCAAGTCTAGTTTGGCCCTGCCCTTAGGTCAGTTCCAATCCAGTTCACTCCCCAGGCCTGGTCCTGCCCACAACTCTGCTCTTTCATTTAGCTCCGCCTCCGAATAGGCCCCGCCCCTGATATGACTCCGCCCCCAGCAGGCCTCTGACTTGGCCTCGCTCCAGACCTGATCCCCTCTGACCCTGGCTCCTGCCCCAAAGGAGATCCAGGTTGAACTCGAGTCCAATGCCGCCCCTCCCTCCACCCACAATTTTAACCAGGACTCGAAACTCGACCCCTTTTCCAGGCTCTCTCCCACCAGCCTCGCCCCACACTGGTTCCACTCTCTTCCCAGGTACAACGTTGACTCCAAAACCAACATCTCCAAACCGGTGAGCGGGCATCCCCTCCCAGGCTGGTTGGGCACACAGGCGGAGCTCAGTGTGTTAAACGACCCTCCTTAGAACTCCCCTACCCCTCAACCCCGACTCTGCCTTCTTTGTTCTGCCTGAACCCACCCTCCTGGCCCTCCTCTCCTGCTCCTGCCTCGATTTCCTGCCTGTGCCTCTTACTCACTGCTTCTCTTCCTTCTCGGCTGCCACTGGGACCTGCAGAAGGTGAGGCTGAACGGGTGTGGACGGCGGGTGAGAGGTGAGGGGTGGGATGGCATCGTGGAGAGCAGCTTAAGGTGATGGCAGGACCAAGAAGCAGAGCTTGAGTGGGGACCCCCTCCCCCTCCTTTAAAGCACATGCCAGGCGGTGGTTCTTGTGACATTCTGCCACCTCAGAAAGCCCTGGTCAGTGCGGCAGCATCACCAGGGCTGGGCTGGGACTCTGCGCCCCCAGCTCCTCCTGGCCTCGCTGACTCTGTGTCCCGGTGCAGGATTTCCTGGGACAAGCGTTCCTGGCCCTGGGAGAGGTGATCGGAGGCCAGGGCAGCCGCGTAGAGCGACCCCTCACGTGAGCTGAACTGGAAGGGGTGCAGGGGAGAAGGGTGGGCACCTCCAAAATCTCCTCGCAAAGATGCTTCTGACCAGATAGCAGTGGAGGCTGGGATTCCCCCTGGTCAGGAGCCTTCAGTGGCTCCCTTCACCCTCGTGGGAAAGTCCAATCTCCAGGGCTTTGCTCAAGTCAGTCTCAGGCCTGATATGTCGTCTCTCTCTCTCCTCTCTCTATTTCTAAGTCTGATTCAAACTTTAAGGTCCACTTCCAAGCCCTTCTCCTCCAGGAAGCTTCCCCTGCCTAAATCAAGTTCTCTGGAATTTCCATTACATTCACTCACTAAATATTTATCAACACATTTTGTATACCTGCTAGGCACCAGGGATTTATCCATTCCACAAATACTACTGGGCACATACTCTACGTCAGCTACTGTTTAAGGGGTGTAAGTTGCACTGGTGAACAAAACAAAGTTCCTGCCCTCAGGGAGCTTATACTATGGAAGAGGGGTAGAGACAGTACAAAATAGACATCATAAATAAGTACATTACATAATATATTAGAAGACATTAAGTGCCATGGAAGAAAGGCAAAGCAGAGAAGCATAAGCGGGATTAGAAATGCTGGGCGGGTGGGAGGTGCACTGTTCAACAGAGTGGTTGAGTTGGCCTCATGGAGAGGTAACTTCAGAGCAATGACCTGAAGATGGTAAGGGAGTGAGCCGTGCAGATATCTGGAGGAGAAGTGTTCCAGGCAAAGGAAACTACCAGTGCAAAAGCCTGATACAATCAAAGAGCATCAAGGAGGCCAATGTGGCTGGAGCCAAGTGAACAAGGGGGAAGGAAGGAGGAGGTGCAGATGGAGAATTAACAGTGAGGGCCTTGTAGCTACTGTAAGGATTTAGCCTTTACTCTGAGTTGGGGAGTCACTGGAGGGTTCTGAGCAGAGAAGTGACATGATCTGGCTATGCTTTCAAAGGATGATGCTGGCTGCTGGATTGAGAATAAACCTTAGGTGGACAAAGATAGAAGCAGGGAGCCAATTAGAAGGCTATTTACAGTAATCCAGGATGGTAGCAGTGAATGAGGGGAGACGTGGTCAGATTCTGGATATATTTCAACGGTGGAGCCAACAGATTGAATATGGATGTGACAGAAAAAGAGGAGTTGAAGATGACACCAAGGCCTTTGGCCTGAACAACTGGAAGGATGGAGTTGCCATAAACTGAGAGGGTAAAGAAAAAAAAAGGGAGGAGTAAGAAGTAGGGGGGGATTCAATCAGGAGTTCAGTCCAACACGTTGAATTTTATAATTTTTATTAGACATTTGATATGTCAAACAGGCAGTAAGATACATGAGTCTTAGATGCTCTTTAAGGCCATGAGACTAGATGAAATCACCAGGGAGGGAGGAGAGAGAAGACCAAAGACTGAGACTCCGTGAGTTAGAACTAGAAAAGGAGACTGAGAAGGAGCATTAATGAAGTAGGAGGAGAACCAAGAGAAGGTGGTGTTGTCCTGGAAGCAAAGTGAAGGACATACATCAAAGAGGAGAGAGTGATCAACCACGTCAAATACTGCTGCAGGTCAAGTAAGGTGAGAAGTGGGAATTGGCGGCTGGATTTAGCAAGATGGAGGTCACTGGTGACTGACAAGCATAGTTTTGAAGGAGAGGTGGGAATGACAGCCTGGCTGGAGAGGTTTAGAAGAGAATTGAAGAGAGAAATGAGAATCTTCAAGGAATCTTCAAGGGGTTTTGCTGCAAAGAGAAGAGAAAAGGAGAGTGGCTGGAGAGGGCAATGAAGTGCAGAATAGGCTTGTAATTTTTTAACGTAAGAAAAATTATACCACATTTGTATGTCAATGGGAATGACCCAGTAGAAACTGAAAAATTGACATAATAAAAAGAGGGGAGAATTGCTGGAGTGATGTCCTTGTGCAGCCAAGAGGGTGTGGAATGGAGCACATGGTGGAGGGATACATAGGCACACAGGCAGTCATTTACAGCTATGGTAGCAAGGCACAGTTACGTGGATGAGGGCAGGGTGGGTGTGGTGGTGGGTCTGTGGACATTCTCTCCTGGTTGCTTGAGTTTTGTCAGTGAAGTAGGAAACAAGGTCCTTGGCTGAGAGTGAGGATGAAGGAGGCTTTTTGGGTTTGAGGAGAAGGGAGGAGGAGTGAATGCCATTGAGCTGAACTGGAGAGTGAAGGGACTCGGGGTGTGTAGTATGGTTAGGACCCTCTTGAGGTTTGTGGTCATGTGTTTAAAATGAAACTGATTAGCATGATTGTGTGTTTTCCTCTGGCCCTATTCAGCTGCACAGGTGCAGTATGAGTTAGGCAGAGAACTGGATTTAATTAGGGCTGTGGTTCTGCCAAATAAGTATATCAAGGTGAGAGCAGGGCAAGGGGAAAGGGGTAGGATGCAAGGGAGTGACTTATAATCATTCACTGGAATTCACACCGGGTGAGGAGGTGAGGGAGAACATCAAGGAGGCAAAGCACAGCGAGACGGCAATAGGATCAGTGACTTGGTCCTGGATGTGCAGGTGAAGAGTCCCAGTACTCCTCACACTCCATCTTTTTAAAGCACAGAGACTCAGAGATCGAAGGAGCCAAAGAAATGGTTCAGCATTCTCATTTTAAAGATGGGGAAAAGGACACAGCAGGTTGGAGTCGGGACTTGAACTGAGGACACTCCTGACCTAGCTTTCTTCCTGCCACACTTTGGATCCCTGTGGGGATTGGGCTTCACAGCCCCCTATCAACAAGGTCCCTGACTTCTTAGAGACCCAAGGCAAGTGGGAATGGGTGTCCTGGTATGCATCCTTCAAGCACATGAGAGTGTCCCTTCTTGGGTCAGGAGAGAATAAGACTTCCTTTGTCTTTTTTATCTCCCTCTTCTTCTTGCTTCTTTGGAAAGCGTAGTCTTTGACCTAACAAACCAGCCCTTTTGCCCCAGGTCTAGATAGAAATTCCTCTCCCTCATTCAGGACTGCTACATCACACTCTACTTGCATATTGGCTTTGACATCCCACCTCCTTCTGGAGCTCCCCAAGGGTAGGGTCTAGCAGAGCTGGAGAGTGCCAACTGACCGATTCATACCCAGCACAGTGCCTGGCATACAGTAGATACCAGAGTCTGCTTTGAGAAATATAACCACCTCCTTCATATCTATAAAGCTTACCAATTTCTTTTCCTTCCATGCACTCACTCAGATCTCTTCACAGCCCTGAGAGGTGGGTATAAGTCCCATTTCATACAGGAGAAAACTAGGGCCCAAAGAAAGGGGAAATAACTTGCCTAGAACTCTAAATCCTATGTCTTTCCCATGCTACCATTATGAAATGTCCACCTAGGCTGGCTTAACCCCTTCCTTCCAGACTACAGACCCCTCTCCAGTCAAAGTCAGGCCCTTCCCCACCAAGAGCCACCCAAGACAGAAGGGAACACACTCAGGGGACTGTCAGTAATTGGCAAATTGAATCCTCTGGCCCACCCAATCCCAGGTTGGCCACCCTAATCCTTGTTGCCTAACCTCCCCCCCTCACAAAGAGGGTTTTTCTCCTTCCAGGGGTGTTCCAGGCAAGAAGTGTGGGACCATATTGCTGATCGCAGAGGAGCTTAGCAATTGTCGGGTCAGTAAGGGCCACATGCTAGACCCAGGAGGCTCCTTTCTCTCTCCCAATTCCCTTTAGTGGGCTGTCTGAGGCTATGGGCAATTCGAGTGTCAACAGCCCAACTTCACCCCTAGGACATTGCCACCATGCAGCTGTGTGCAAACAAGCTAGACAAGAAGGACTTCTTTGGGAAATCAGACCCCTTCCTTGTGTTCTACAGGAGCAATGAGGATGGCACGTGAGTCACCGCCATCTCCGATGGCAGCCCCTCACCAGCACTGTGACCATGCGCCCATTAGGGCTCTTAGGCTGGGTGTGGGGCATCTTAGACTCCACCAGGACCTGAGCCTAGAATTCACTCAAGGCAGCACACAATATGTGCCTAACAAGTGGGAGAATCCCAGGAATCTCCCAGAGTATGATGCCCTATCTCTGTGCTCAGTCCTACCCCAAAGGCAGGTTCCAATCCTCTTGCTCCTATCCAGGTTCACAATCTGCCACAAGACAGAGGTTGTGAAAAACACGCTGAACCCCGTGTGGCAGCCCTTCAGCATCCCTGTGCGGGCACTGTGCAATGGAGACTATGACAGGTCTGCTTCAGCATAAGCTAGGGAGTAAGGGAACAAGGGTATGAGAGTGGGGTTCCTGGGCCCCAGAATGATGGCAGAAGTGGGGGATCCTGCTCAGTGAGACAGAGTTTTGGGCATGGAGATGGGTGGATGGTAAAGTAGATAAGTAGCCACATGGATGGATAGGTGGATGAATGGACATGTGGGTCGATGAAAGGGCAAATGAACGAATGAATGAGCAGATTCATGGATGGATGGTCAGATGGATAGATAAACTGGTGAATGGATGGATGGGTATATGGATGGGTGTTTAAGAGGATTGGTGGGTGGGTAGAAAAGGAGATGGATGAATGGATAAGTGGACTGATAGGCAGATTAGTCAATGGACAGATGATGGATGGATTAACAGATGGATGAGTAAACAGATGAGTGGATGGAAGGGTATAGGAGAGATTGGTGGATGGCTGGAGAGGCAGAGGGATGATTTGAAAAACAGGAGGATAAATAGGTAGAGTGATAGGTGGATTGATGGAAGGACAGATGAATGGGGAGTAGAGGGATAGATGGATTAGTGACTACATTAGTTGATGGATGAGTGTAAAGTAGATGGATAGGCTGATCATATGAACTAACAAATGGGAAGTATGAAGATAAGTGGGTGGGTGGAAGGATGGATGGGCACATAAATGGATGGTTATGTAGATGAATGGATGATCAGATGAACACATGTCAGATAGTTGGGTGTTTGATTGAATAGATGAATGGACAGACAGATGGATGTTTGCATGCATCAACGAGTCAGTGAATGGCTGGATGTATAGTTAGATAGGTGGATAAAGATAAGGATTAATAGGCAATTGGTTTGGCAAATGTATGGGTAAATGGGTGGCTAGATGGTTAGATAGATAGTTGAATGGACTGCCACACAGATAGATGGACATATAGGATGACTTAGGCATAGTAGTCAAGAACAAGGTCTTTGGAACTATGACGTCTGAGTTTACAGTAGTCACCCCTTATCCACGGGGGGATACGTTCAGGGGGATGCCTGAAACCGTGGATAGTACTGAACCCTATATATACTGTGTTTTTTCCTATACATACATACCTATGATAAAGTTTAATTTATAAATTAGGCACAATAAGAGATTAACAATAATAACTTCTTTTCTGTATATCTGAATTGCCAGCATCACCACTCTTGTGCTTTGGAGCCATTATTAAGTAAAATAAGGGTTGGGCCGGCCTCGTGGCTTAGCGGTTAAGTGCACACGCTCTGCTGCTGGCGGCCCAGGTTCGGATCCCGGGCGCACACCGATGCACTGCTTCTCCGGCCATGCTGAGGCCGCGTCCCACATACAGCAACTAGAAGGATGTGCAGCTATGACATACAACTACCTACTGGGGCTTTGGGGGAAAAATAAATAAATAGATAAAATTAAAAAAAAAAAGTAAAATAAGTGTTACCTGAACACAAGCACTGCAATACCACAACTGTCGATCTGATAACTGAGACAGCTACTAAGTGACTAACAGGCAGGTAGCATATACAGCATGGATATGCTGGACAAGAGATGATTCACATCCTGGGTGGGACAGAATGGGACGGCGCAAGATTTCAACATGCTACTCGGGATGGAGCACAATTTAAAATTTACGAATTGTTTATTTCTGGAATTTTCCATTTAATATTTCTGGACCACAGTTGACTGCAAGTAACTAAAACCACGGAAAGCAAAACCGTGAATAAGGGGCAACTACTATAAATCTCAGCTCAATGACTTACTAGTTACTTTTTAACCTCAGCTTCCTTATCCATAAGTAAGAATAATAGTACTTACTTTATAGGCTGGTTGTCAAATTAAATGAGACAATCTGTGAAAATGCTGAGAACAATGCCTGGAATATAGTAAGACTCAATAAGTGGCAAAGAATAGTAATAGTGGTACAAATACAGTAGTAGTAGTAATAGTGGTAGTGGCAGCAGATGGTTGGGCATGTGCATGGACTGATGAATGAACAGATAGGATGAATGGATAGATGAGAAGAAGGACAGATGGGTGGATGGGAGGATGATCTGTATATGGTTAAGGGGGTGGGGGTTTCTCTAGGATTTATCATACACACCCAGCCTATGTTTATCTCCTGCATTTCAGAACAGTGAAGATTGATGTGTACGACTGGGACCGGGATGGAAGGTAGAACTGCCCCACAGAGTACTGCCTTCTCCTGTACTTAACCCAAACAATTCCCTATAATATGTAGTACATTCACCAGGAATCCCAAAGTGGCCTTGGGAGCCAGGAAAGGTGATGATAGATGCCAGGACCTTGGGTATAACTGATCCCCTCAGTTGTTTCTCTGGGACACTGTCTTTTCCCCTTAGCTTGGCCCTTCTTCTGGCCCCAGCCCCTCCAGTGCCCTGCAGCCCAAGTAGAGGCAGGGGATAGTGGGAATAAAAGACTGGTTTCAGGGCTGGCTCCAAGCCAGCAGCAGCAGCTGCTCTCCCACTCCTGGCCTCATTGCAGTCATGATTTCATCGGTGAGTTCACCACCAGCTACCGGGAGCTGCGCAAGGCCCAGAACCAGTTCACAGTGTATGAGGTGAGAGCTCTCGCCCTGTGCAGTTGCCCAGGCCCTCCCTCTCACTGTGCTCAGTCTGTAGCTCCCTTCCTCTGTTTCCCACCATCACTGTTATCTTCCTCACTTAGGTACTTAACCCTCGGAAGAAATGTAAGAAGAAGAAATATGTCAACTCGGGAACTGTGAGTGCTCCCTGGAGCTCTGGCTTTCTTGGATTCTTCTGTTTCTATCATCATCGACATAGCGTGACAAATGTTGGGGGTATGGGAAGGCTGTGAGCACAGATTACTTGGATACAGTAATGCTGGACACAAGGTAGCACCATCTAAGGTTTTCTTTGTTTTGGTTTTTTTTTCCTCACCTGAGGAAAATTTTTGGATCTTTACTCTTCTGCAGAATTTTTTTAAAAACCTAAGTTGTATTTCCCAATTTAATATACTTTTGGAAATCCAAATATGTCTCTGATAGCTTCCCCTTTTTGCCCTTTCAGAAATAGGACAGAGTGGGACAGGGTGGGGCAGGGGGTGGAATCATGTGCCTCTCTCCCTTCTGCCACCCCAACTGCAATTTCCAAAGTGGCAGGGCTGCCTGTTCTGTCCCACAGGTGACGCTGCTCTCCTTCTCTGTGGACTCTGAATTCACTTTTGTTGATTACATCAAGGGAGGGTGAGTCACAGGCCAAGCTCTGGGCTGAAAGCCCAGCAATGAGTTACTCCCAGTTCTGAGCCTGTTTTCTTATTTATGAATGGTCAGGGTCCAATGAGATCATGGAGATAAACTTTAAAACACTTGGCAAACTATAAAGTGCTCTGTCAAATGCATAGTGTTGCCTGTCTTAGTTCTGTTCAGGGGGTTGCCTTTCACCTCTAGCTTCCAGTCCCCTCTGGGAAGATGACAGACCAGTGGTCTTCATAGGTGGCCCCAGTAACCTGACTGAGGCCCAGACAAAAGTTATGGCCAAGCAAGAGAGAGAGGCCAAGAGAGAGGGAAAAGCCAAGCACTCTACAGAAGACACTCTGCTTGGTTCAGTCAAAGCAGGCAGATCTGGAAAAGGTACTTTGCTTCTCTGAACCTCACTGTTTTCCTATGTAAAATGGAGATGTTAATTACTACTTCAGGGCTATAGTAAGGGTTAAGTTAAATTACACATAATACACTTGTCACATAGCAAGCATTTAATTCTGCTACCCAAAGTGTGCTCCACAGACCAGCAGCATCTGCATCACTTAGAATTTTGTTAGAGGGGCCAGCCCAGTGGTGCAAGAGGTTAAGCGCACGCGCTCCGCTGCGGCGGCCCGGGGTTCACCGGTTCGGATCCCGGGTGCACACTGACGCACCACTTGGCAAGCCATGCTGTGGTGGCGTCCCATATAAAGTGGAGGAAGATGGGCACGGATGTTAGCCCAGGGCCAGTCTTCCTCAGCAAAAAGAGGAGGATTGGCAGATGTTAGCTCAGGGCTGATCCTCCTCACAAAAAAAAAGTTTGTTAGAAATGTAGAATCTCAGGCTCCACCCAGACCATCCATATCAGAATCTGCATTTTAACATGATCCCTAGGTGATTCGTATGCACACTAGTGTTGGAGAAATCCTGGTATAATAATTACTAATCCCTCACTTCTCAATCCATCTACCTCCCCAACAGGACGCAGCTGAACTTCACAGTAGCCATTGACTTCACAGCTTCCAATGGTGAGGCATGGCTGGGGAAATGGGGTGTATGTGTGGGGGAATTTTAAGGAAATCATTAGGGATTGGCCTGGATTCTGACCTGGGAATAAGAGTTCACCTATCCAGGAAGCCCAGGCTTGAGGCAAAGCCCAGCCAGGCTGGTACTAGGGCAGGAGTGCTGGGGAGAGATTATTGGGTGTAAGGGTAGGCAGAGGGTACAGGAAAATAGGTGGGTAAATGGATCAAAGAAAGTTGAAAGGATAGATAGCTCAAGAAATGGATGAGTAAATGAATGGATGGAAAAGAATAGGGGTATAAGGAGAGATGGGTAGGTAAATGGGTAATGGGTGATTACTGAGTGGGTAGATAGGTTGGTGAGTGAGTACAATAGGTGAGACAAGTGGATGCATGGATGGGTATGTGGGTGGACAAATGGACAGATGTTTAAATTAGGGAAATAACAGGTAAGTAGATAGGGAATGGATGAGTGGACAAGTGGATGGAGCCAAATGAGGATAGACAGACAAGTAAATGAATGGAATGGATAGGGATAGATGGACAAAAGAATGTGGCTGTATGGATGGATGGGAAAGGAAGAGAAATGGTAGGTGGACAAGGGGATGGATGGATGGATGGATGGATGGATGGTTGGATGGATAGGTGGGTGGATAGTCGGATAAGAGATTAGAGAGGTGGATGGATAGAGATGAATAGGTAGATTGAAAGATGGATTTATGGTCAGTGGACAGGTGAATGGATGTGTGAGTAGGTGGATAAATTGATGGATAGACATAGGGGTTGGTGGGTGGATAGATGGATAAATGAACATATGGATGATTGGGTAAAATAATGAGGGAGTACATGAGTAAAGAGTAGATGAATGGATAGGTGGATGGATGCATACAAGGATAGGCAGGTGAACAGATGGATGATCAAGGTGACCATGAGGCTAGGGCTCCTGTGTCCCTACAGGGAATCCCCTGCAGCCTACCTCCCTGCACTACATGAGTCCCTACCAGCTCAGCGCCTATGCCATGGCCCTCAAGGCAGTGGGAGAAATCATCCAAGACTACGACAGTGACAAGCTCTTCCCAGCCTACGGCTTTGGGGCCAAGCTGCCTCCAGAAGGACGGATCTCCCACCAGTTCCCCCTGGTATGGTATTGGCCAGAGCCTACACTCCATGCTCTGGCATCTGGCCCACTCAAGTGGGTGGAATAGAATTTCTTCTATTTACATTTCTTTTAAGGGTCAAGGACCTGCGGAGGAGCAGGAAGCTATGAGAGGGTGGCACAGCAGGGAGGGGAGCAGGGCTGGAGTTTGGAGAAGAGCATGAAAGAGAGTGATGGAAAAAGGAAGGAGTGAGCTGGGATCAGAGCACTCCTGGGTATACCCTGCACTGGGCTCAGCCCAGCAGGGCATCTTCCCTGACAGAACAACAATGATGAGGACCCCAACTGTGCGGGCATTGAGGGCGTGCTGGAGAGCTACTTCCAGAGCCTGCGCACAGTGCAGCTCTATGGGCCCACCTACTTTGCTCCTGTCATCAACCAAGTGGCCAGGTAAGGGAACTGGGTGGGGATTGGGGGGTATGAGGGGATCCAGACAAGGATAGTCAGGACTATTCTTGGGTGAACTTGGGCTTTGGGGAGAGGGTGAAAGTTTCAGTGTTGGCCAGGCTCTGGTATAAAGAGGTTACATAATGCCTTATTCTGGGGTAGAAAGGGTGTCAACAAACTATGCCAACCCCACTCCCTGGGAACAACAACCCAGGCCTCAAGTTTGGGGAAAAGAGAGAAGGGCCTATAGCACAACGGCTAAGGCACAAGCTTTGGCATCAGATGTGGGAGTGATCCTGGCTCCAGCACTCACTAACCGTGTGACCTTAAGCAACTTAGCCTGTCTGAGCCTCCATTTCATCCCTGTAAATGAGTGTAATAATGGATAACACAGCACCTTCTTTATAGGGTTATTGGGAGGCTAAAATTAGATAACAATGTACGAATTATTAGCAGTGTCTGGCCCATAGTAAGTGCTCATTAAATGGTAGATTAAAAAATAGAACAGTAACTTCTAAAAATGGTTAACTCCACATTTTGAGAATAAAAATATACAAAGCAAAGAAAACTCAGATCACATATCAAATGATTTTTTAAAATTCAAATAAAATAAAATGACAGAACTAAAACCAAACATATCAATAAACATAAATTGGATAAGCTCACCTATTAAAAGAAAAAGATTCTCTGATTGAATAGAAAAAATATAAGTAAACCCTACTATATGCTGAATAAAAGAGACCCAGCTAAAACAAAGTACCTCAGAGAGCTTGAAAGTAAAAAGATGAAAGAAAAACAAAGAATTAAAGTGGCAGGATTTCAGAGAGATTTATATGTCCATCGACTTCCTTTTTCCCTAATGAAGATTGGTTATTTTCTAATTCATAATGAGGATATAGTTTCTTTAATTAGAAAAGTAACATAACATTGCCTTAGAAAATTTCAAGGATGAAGAAGGGAAAGAAGAATTCACCCAGGGTACCACCTGTAGGGGTGTGGATGTATATATAGTTCTTGGGAGTCTTTTCCTTATGCATCCATAATTGCAGTCAAATGACATTTAATATTTCACTACTGATTTTTTCACTTAATATTGGAGCCTGAATATATTTTTTTATTGTTATTAAACAGATTTCTTAAATATTATCTTGGGCAAGTTCAATAGTTCATTCATTCATTCATTCATTCATTCATTTAATAAACGTTCAGTAAAGGCACAATGTAGCACGAATGTGGGCTGTGGAGCCAGACTAGCTAAGTTAATACACGCACTCTACCACTCACTAGCTGTGTAACTTTGGGCAAGACTCTTAACCTCTCTGTGCCTGTTTCCTCAATTGTAAAAACTGGATAATAATATCTACATCATAGGGTTGTTGAGAGGATTAACTAAATTAACATATGTCAAGCACTTAGAACTATAAGTGTGTTAGCTATTACTGTTACTATTATTATCATTATTACTATTCAAAGGGCATCTGCTGTGTGCTCAGTTCTCTACTGGGACACTGGAGACTCACAGATGAATCAGATCTACTCTCTGCCCTTGGGAGCTCCTGCGTTGGTGCAGGAGACAGAAATATAAATAAATCATTACCTTCTGTAGGCCAGAGCTTCCCAGACTTTTCCAGCAAGTTGCCTGTCAGCAAAGGCAAGCAACTGCTTCTCCCAGGGGAATCTGGGGGCACAGCTGAAAGCAGCCAAGCTGAAAATGTCTTCGAAGTCCCCATATTTTATCTTAAAAATTCATGCAAATTTTACATTCTTCCACATTGTGTCCATGTTTGCTTTAATTTAGGGGGGAAAAAGGTGTTTTAAGTGTACTTAGAGTCATCTAGCTTTATCCACCAGATCACGTAGTAGAATGAATGCTCCAGGTATCCTGTGGCCGTGGGTCCCTCTGGGTACACATGATGGTACCCTCAGGGGTGTGAGAACCCATTTGGAAGGACAGACTGCGCATCTTGGTGGGCAGTATCCTAGAAGCCAGAGGGACAGGAAGGGAGGGTGTAATCTAGTCTGAGAGACCCAAGGCAGCCTACTTGTGGAAAGGACTGCTTGGCTGGGTCTAGAGGGGGAGCTGGACCTTATCAGAGAAAGAGGTGCAGAGTAGGCCCGGCAGAAGGAACTGCAAGTGAAAAAAGCACAGAGGCATTAAGGGGCAAGCTCAGGAAACAGAAAACGGTACACTATGACCAGAATGTGCAGGTATGTGAAGGAGCACCCAAAGAGCAGGCCAGGAACGGAGAGTGAAGGAATCAAGAGTTCAGGCTTTAGGCTCAGTTGGTCAAAAATGGGTTTGGACTCTGGCTTCACCACCCCTTGGGGATGCTACATAATGTCTCTGAACTTCAGTTTTCTCATTTAAAAAATAGGAATGAAAAATATGCCTCCCTCACAGAATGGTGGTGAAGATTAAATTAGATCATGTATGTCAAGTGTGCAGCTGTGATTCTGATGATCACAGATGGCTCTTCGTTGTTTCTCACCCAATAGTCAAGTGGGGCACACACTGGCCTCCCTCAGCTAGTCACCCATCTCCAGGTCTAAATGGCCTTGGGAATGTCAGGTACCTATGGGGAGCCAAAGATGTATCTCCTGTGTCCCCAAACCCTTCCATGTCCCCCACTGCCCCTGGCTCACAAATCCCCTCATGAGTGGGCCTTCGCCCACTGCTCTAGCCTCATCTCTCTTCTCTAGTCCTACATGTGCCTCCTAGATCATTCTCTTGGCTTGTACATGCCATTCCCTCTCTCTGGAACACTTTTCCCTTTACCTTCCCAACAACCCCACCCCCACCCCTTTTAACCTGGCTAACTCCTACTTATTTTTCAGGTCTTAGGTCAGATGTCACATTCTCAAAGCCCTAACCTGAATGCATCTCAATGGTATAAGTATCCATCTCCCTCAGTATAATACCCTATTCTCTGCTGCAATCTCACCACCAAGCTTGGTGCCTGACACACAGCAGGTGTGCAGTGACTCTTTGTAAAATGAGTGAGTGACAGAAAATGGTACCAGTCCAGGCCTATGAAGAGGCTTCAGCCGGAATTCAGTAAGGGAGCAGGGGACACTAAGGAGGATCATGACCCACTCCCACCCAGAGCGCTGGGCAAACTGAGCCATAGTTATTTGAATTCTCCACTCTCACCCTGCTTTCCTCTGATTTTTTGATATCAAGCTTAAATACCAGCACTATCCAACAGAACTTTCTGCAATGATGGAAATGTTCTGTATCTGTGCTATCCAATATGGTAGCTGCCAGCCACATACATATATTGAGCACTTGAGATGTAGCTAGGGTGAACAAGGAGCTGAATGTTTAATTCTACTTAACTTAGTTAATTTAAATTTCAATAGCCACGTGAGGCTTGGGGCTACTTTATTGGATAGTGCAGCTCAATCCTTTCCAACCCACACAGAGTCTGAGACTGGAAGTCAAGAGACCAGGGTCTGCCATGGCCTTTGTGCTCTCTTAATGTCTCATTTTTTCTTATATGTAAAATAAGGGGACTGGAGTCAATGACTTCTGAAGTCCTTTTCAGATGGAAAAATCTTGGATTCAAATATTGATGGTAAGAAAAGAAAAAGGAGCTCTGGGAGCAGCTGTTAGACTGGCTGAGGACTCAGCAGCCCAGGCAATGGAATGTGGTCAGCAGAGGGGAGAAGGGAAGGAGAGAAGAAATGGATGAGAGAGGGAAGAAAGGAGGCCTTCAGCTTTTGGTCTTGCTCTTGTAAACACCAAAATCTTTCCAGGGCTGACAAAGCCCTGTGTGGTCTGGCCCCTGCCCATCTCAGCCACACGGTCCACTCTGCTTCCCTCACTTTATGGGCTCCAGACAGAGTGGGCTTCCTTCAGTCCCATCACAGACCCTTTGTCTATGCTGTTCCCTTTGCCTGGAATGATCCTCCCTTCACTTAGCCTGTCCTTCATCCTCAAACATTTTTTCCTTAAAGAAGCCTTCACTGACCTTCTGGACCATGTCAGATCCCCTGCTAGACACTGTCATAGCAGTGTTCCTTTCCATCATAGCACTTGTCTAAAGTGTAATTTTATACCTATTTCTGTGATTCTTGGATCAATGTTCCCCCTCAAGAGGGCTGGGATGGATTTGTTTTTTCTCCTTGGGTACCTCCAGTGCCTAACACAGTACTCACCACAGTAAGTGCTCCATAAATGTTACCGGAGGGATGGCAGGCAAGGGCAGGCAGCCAGGTCTGGGGAAGGAGCATGAGCTTCAGAAGCCCCAGTCCTTGTCCGCTGCTTATACACTGGCTGTGGAAGCTTTAGGAGTAGGCTGTTCCCTTGGCCTCTCTGGGCTTTCAGCTGGATTCTGACCTTGCCCTCTCACCCAGGGCTGCAGCCAAGATCTCTGATGGTTCCCAGTACTATGTTCTGCTCATCATCACCGATGGGGTCATCTCTGACATGACACAGACCAAGGAGGCCATTGTCAGTGTGAGTCTGAGGAGGCGGGCTTGGCAGGGAGGGATCACTGTTAATAAATGTGAAGGAGTTGAGATTTTACCCTACTTTCAAGCTAACAAGTTAGCCCGCTAGTTTCATGGATGCTGGCAGAAGACACAAGATTCCTGGATCAGAGACAAAGGACTTTGTTATTCCCAGCAATAGCAGTAGCTCGAGTATCAGCATTAGCTCGGATTACCTAAGTCCCGATTCCCAAAAGATGATGTGAAGAGGGCCAGATGACATCTGCATCTACAGTGGGTTGCATTATAGGACAGAAACCCTGAACTTAGGGAACCTGAATCTTTTATAATGGGCAGTAAGCATGCCTGCCCTTTGTTCCAGTGTAAGACATTTTATTATACTAGCTAATAATAAACCTGCCCTTTGCTCTAAAGGAATACACTGTGTCTTTCAAGGCTGTTTGATATGCAGGCATGCTTAAAAAGATAGTCTGGAACAAAGGGAATCAGTGTCTCTGCTTGCAAGATGTGCAGAAACATGACACACACACAGAGAATTGTTTCCCAACAGTTACCTCCCTTATTATGGCTGCTCATCCCAACCATTCACCCTCTTTCCCTCATAGGCCTCCTCACTGCCCATGTCTATCATTATTGTTGGTGTGGGACCAGCCATGTTTGAGGGTGAGTAGGATGGGGTGGGGGTGTCCATGAGTGGGACCAAGAACTGGGAAAAATAGGGGTGGATCTGGGCACCCAGGCTTGCCTCACAGAAAAGATATGATGGATGCCTGTGCTGGACCTTGACCAAATCACAGACCTTCTCTGAACCTGTTTCCTCATCATAACCGAGGCTGTTGATATCAATACTTCCCTCCTGGGATTTCTGGAAGGATGGATTCATGGGAAAGCAAATAATAACTCCATAACAATGCCTAATATTTGTAGGACTTTGATACAACCATTAGGCATTCTCATGATGACTCTGAAGGGGAGCTAAGGAGGGAGGGAGGTGGCATGGGTTGGTGTGGGAGAGGCCAATCAGCTGAGGAGTGTCTTTTCTGCAGCAATGGAAGAGTTGGATGGTGATGACGTACGCGTGTCCTCTAGGGGACGCTACGCAGAGCGGGACATCGTTCAGGTAGACCTGACCAGGGAGAAGAAGTCATGGAGCCAAAAGGCATGGTTGGAAGGAGAGGCTAAGCTGGCAGCTACTCTCCCTTACTGCTTTCTTAGACACCTACCTTTCTCCTCATGGCTCTTTCAGCCTTCCTGCGTTCATTGAACAAATTCTCTTTGAGAAATAGGCAGGCTGCTGCAGCCATTGTGGATCCATAGTGGAGAAGATCCCAAGGCCCCCGCTCTCTAGTGGAGGCAACTAGTAATAATCACACAGCTAAATATCTCATTAGATTGTGATAAGTGCTCCAGAGGAACAGCACATGCCACTCTGAGAGCCTATAACAGAAACCTGATTAGGTAGGATAGTCAGGGAAGGCTTCTATGAGGAAATTACAGTTGAGCTGAAACCTAAAGGAGGGGATAGGTATTACAGGCAGAGGAGCAGCATGTGAGAAGGCCCTGAGACTCAGAAGAATTGGCATGGAAAAGGCAAGAGGCCAGGATGGCAGAGCACAGTAAGTGAGAGGAAAAGGGAGCCAATGCCTTGCCAGTCATGACGAAGACTGGGATTTTGTTCTAAAAGAATTGGAAAGCTCTTGAAGGATTTTACAGAGGGGAGTGAGATGGTTAGACTTGCATTTTAAGAGGATCTTTGCTGCATGGAGGGTGGACTGTAGCAGGACAAGAGAAGGCAGGTAGACCTGTTAGTGAGGAAGCCTTTAAAGTAACAGAGGGGATGGGCCGGTCCTGTGGCTTGGCGGTTAAGTGCGTGCGCTCCGCTGCTGGCGGCCTGGGTTTGGATGCTGGGCACGCATCGACACACTGCTTCTCCGGCCATGCTGAGGCCGCGTGCCACATACAGCAACTAGAAGGATGTGCAACTATGATGTACAACTATCTACTGGGGCTTTGGGGGAAAAATAAATAAATAAATAAAATTAAAAAATAAATAAAGTAACAGAGGGGAGACAACACGGATCTGGATGAGAATGGAAGCAGTGAGGATGGAGAGAAGAAGCAGGTTCAGATTATTTAAGAAAATTTTACAAGAGTTGATGATTTGATTAAATGGTGATAAGGTGTGAGGGGGCTTCAAGGATGAATCTCAGTTTTCTAGCATGAGCAGCTGGGTGAGGGATAGTCCCATTTACTGGGAAGGGGAAAGCTGGAGGAAGAGCAGACTTGGCAGAAAGGGCTAAAATTCAGTTGTGAACACATTGGGTTTGAGGTATCTATGACAACTGAATGGAGATGTGACATGGACAACTAAATATGTGGCTCTGAACCTTTAAAAAGAGGCCAGGGATGAATATATAAATTTGGGAGTCATCAGGAAACAGTTTTTAAAGCATAGAAGTGTATGAAATCACCCAGGAAGAGAATTGAGAGAGAGAAGGGACCAGATTTAGAGATCAGGGAGGCCCAGAGGAATAAGGGGGGAAAAAGTAGGGGATCATCCAGAAAGGTAGGAGAAAATCCAGGAGAGTATGATGTGTCAAGAGTGGGATGTGTCCAGGAAGATTATGGTCAAATGTAATGGAAAGCTAAAGAGAAGTCAAGCAAGATGAGGACTGACAATTACTGCCCACTGGACTGATTTGGGAACACAGGGCGGTTGACAACGTTAGCAAAAGCAGTTTAGTAGACTGCGTGAAGCCAAATGGAGTGAATTGAAGGTGAACAGAAGGTGGAAAAAAAAAAAAGTGAGTGGGTAGAAAGCAAATGTGGAAAGCTGTTCAAGATAGGGGGAGAGAGAGAGTGTGATATCTGGAGAGATGTTAGGGGTCAAAGAGGAAGCCTCCCTACTGACTCCCTCTACTCCCCTCTCTCCCGGCCACTACCCACACCTGATTGTCTGTGCCTATCTCAGTTCGTCCCATTCCGAGACTATGTTGACCGGTCGGGGAACCAGGTGCTGAGCATGGCCCGACTAGCCAAGGACGTGCTGGCCGAGATCCCTGAGCAGCTGCTGTCCTATATGCGCACCAGAGACATTCAGCCTCGCCCCCCACCCCCTGCCAACCCTAGCCCGAACCCAGCTCCAGAGCAGTCCTGAGGAGCCCACCTATCCAATGCCAACTAGTCTGCCCACCTGCCCACCCACTGCTTCTGCTGCAAGGCAGGGGCTCCTGGAGCCCTGGACCTCATTGGGAGGCCAGCTTGGAAGATAGGAGCTAACTGGTCGAGCCCTCCGCCCCCTCACCCACAGAAGGGCCTGGCACTGTCACCACCTCCCTGCCTTCATGCCAATAATAAAGCTGATCATTACTTCACCTCTGTCTCATGGGTCTTGGGGAGGGAGATTGGGGGACCCAGGGCCTGGGGCCACATCAAGAGGAGGGAGCAAGGACAGCTTCAGCTAGGGTTCATCCCCATCCTAACACACATCCATCCAATCCCTTCTACAGACATTCTTCAAACACTTTAAGAAATGAGTGAAATTTTGTGTGTGTACATTTTTTCTGAGGAGAGAAGCCCATAGCTTTCATCAGATTCTCAAAGGGGTTTGGCTTTAAGATGACTGTATAACTCTGATCCATTTATTCTGAGTTTTTTGAATAAGGATAATAAAAACAGCTAATATTTTCTTTGAGTATTCACTACATATCAGACACTATGCTAGGTGATTTACAAGCATCATTTTATTTAATGTTCACAATAATCCTGTGAAGTAGGTACTATATTTTATCTCTGTTTTACACATGAGGAAACTGAGGCTCAAAGAAGTTAAATCACTTATTGAAGAGAACTCATCAGTTTGACTCCAGATCCCAACATCTTAACCAGAAAACATCATCCTGAAGTGTTGATTTTATTAGGATGTTTTTGGGAAGACACTGTATATGAAAACAGATACATTATAGTGGGTAGAATGCAAAGTTTGCATTAAAACAAAAGAGAAGCTTCGGCTTTCCCCAGAACCCTGGAAGACCCTTTCACGCTCCTCTTTGATGGCAAAACTGGATAGCTCAACAACAAGCATTGTTTAACAAGTGGACTCTTGCTGGCACCCAAGTTCTCCGAAGTCCCCAAGAACTGACTAGAGTTTTCGAGCTCCGTTTTACAAATAAGGAATTTGTAGTAGGAAGAATTTAACAACTTGCTCAAGTTCACATAGCTACTAAGTGGCCCAGTTACATCAAAACCAGCTCTGTTTTGACACCATCTTCTACAACCCATACCCATGATGCACCTCCCAGCAACCTACGTGGTTCCCAATATCTGAATTCCATTTTACCCTACACAAGCCGTTTCACAACCCTTCAGGCCCCTGCACATCCCCAAGTGCGACCCCTCCTTTCAATCCACACCTTCCCTCCAGTCCTGCTCCTTTACCTTCCCCAAGCCCTTTCCCTTTCCTTCAGCCACGCCCCGTTATCCCTAATCCGGTCCCGCCCTTTCCCTCCAGCCCTGCCCCTTTACCTTTTCCAAGCCCCGCCCTTTCCCTTCAGCCTCGCGTCGTTTTCCCAGCTCTATCCTTTCTCCCTAGCCCAGCTTGACCTTCCAGCCCCATCCAAAGCCCCGCCCTTTCTTCCCTGAGGCCCACTCTTCTGTTTAGCCCCACGCTTTAATCCAGTTCAGCCCCTATTCTCCTTACCGGGGCCCGCTTTGCAAATGGCCCCGCCTACTCCTCAAAAACCCCGCCCCATAGACAAGTTCATTCTTTTCCAGCCCCGCCCCGCCCCTACCCATAACTTCGGGCCGCCTTAGGCTCCAGCCCGCGTTAACTCTTGCTCCCGGCCCTGCCCCCAGCCCCGCCCCGCGGCTCCGGCCCCGCCTCGCCGGCTTCCTCGGAGACCAAGGCCAGGTCCCTACCGCAGCCGCGGCGCCAGCAGGAGGGAGGGAGAGAGAAGGGAGGGGGGACGGAGGGAGGAGGCAGAGGGGGAAGGGAGAAGGGCGGGCTCCTCACCACCAGCCCCGCGCTCACCGTCCGTGGCCGCAGATTCGCCACAAACGGCCCGACAACTCCGCACCGCGAGTAACGCGACTTCAGTCTTCAGAAACTCAACTCTAAGATGGAGGTGCTAGAGAACCCCTGTGGGATGTCCAGGGGCCCGCTGCGTCCCAGAGAACGGTTTCTCGAGCCTCAGTGGGCGGGCGGGGAACTGTGGCGAAAGTGCAGCTCGGCAGCTCCGCGTCGCCGCGTTTACCCTGCGCAGACGCCGTCGCCGCCGCTGCTGCCGCCGCCGCTGCCACTGCCTTTGCCGCCACCGTCTTCGCCGCCGCTGTCCCCGCGCTGCCTTCGGGAGCCTCCATTGTTCCGGCGGCGCCGGGTTCCGAGACTGGGCAACCTAGGGGCTCTCCAAACGGGCGGCGGCCGACGGCGCTGAGACAGCGGGGCGCCGGCGAGACCGGGAGCGGCAGGGGTCAGCGCGGGAAACCCGGGGAGCCGAGGCCAGAGCGTGGGGCGGCAGGGGGCCGGGGTGGCGAGGCCTAAGGTCTCTGGAGTTGGGGATCCCACTCCCCGGCCCGTCTTTCCCTGCCGGCCTCCCAAGTGGGGTCGGAGCCCCGGCGGGCGCCCCCGGCGATGAGCCCGGACTCGAGGTGGCCGGTGAGTACGGGCCTGGGACCAAGGCGGGAGTGGTCAGCGGGAAAGGGGTAGGCTACTTTCGTGGGGCATGCACTGAGCTGCCCGGCCCTGCTGCACCTGGGGCCACTCCAGCTGGGAGAACTGACAGTGCATTCGCTCCCAGCCGGCATCTCGGGGCAACATCTTCAGGGCTGCCTGGGCCAATGGCAGGAGGGGAGCCTTGTTTAACTTGTTACACTTCGACAAGTGGAAACTTCGCCGCATCCGGGAGAGGCCTGCGGGCACCGCCTGGGCCCGACCTGATCCCTCCGGCCCCCGCCCCTTACTTCCTCCAGCCCCCTGAGCTCCGCCGCCGCCATACCCCAGGGCTTTCAGGTCTAAGTTCGCAACTCCCTTCGCTGTGCCTCTGCCGCCGAGTCTCAGCGGGACGTCTGCCGAGATCTCTGTGCTACTTAGGGAGCCAGGGCAGCAGAGCCACAGCATTCACCAGGGACCCATCATTGAAAGAGTGCCTGTTTTTGTCTCTGATTGGTTTGTGTTTAGAGACAGCCAAAGGTAGGAAGTAGAAGTGTGTGGGAGTTGAAGGAGTAGTGGAAGTCAGGGGCTTTGACGGAGAGCATGGAGGAGCCCACTTGCTTGGCTAAGTCGCAGGAGGAGAGGCCAAGAGGGGTCACTGTTTGTAAGGGAGCTCAGAGTGGCTTTGCTTGGAATGGTGCCAAGCCCCTAGCTGAATTGTTGAACTCAACTAGACCTGAAGAAATTGGGTCAGTCTCTGACCAAGCTGGGCTTCCTGGGGGCTGGTGCCATCTGCTGTCTCCACTCACCCAGGAACACTGGAGAGGAGGAAAGGACCAGCGTGGAGCTGAGTGTGCCTGGATTGTCATGTTCCTGTTTGTATCCTTAGGTACCACTCCCAGGGCCAAGGCCAGGGCCAGAGCAGAGGTTTCCCCTAAAGACCTCAGAAATGAACTAATTCTTTCTATAATCCAATGATTTCTGCTAGAGTCCAGGACTAAATCATTGTCTACTCATTCAGGCTTCTACATAGGCTAACACTAGCTTTCATTCATCTCTCTCAGCTGCAAATCTGGTGATCTCCTCATTCAGCTATTCATTCAACAGGTTATTCATTCATCTGCCAAAAACTGTGTCCACTATATGCCAGGTAGTGGGGATATGGAGGTGGGTAGGCTCTGGTGTCTGTACTGCACAGCTCCCAGTCAAGTGGGAGGAGACAAAACACTTCCAGTATGGTAAGTGCCGTGGTGGAAGTGAAAATGGAATGCTGTGGAAACACAGCTGCCCATGAGAGAGACAAGAAGTCATAACAGAAGAAGTGACATTTGAGCTGGGTTTTGAAGAATGAGTAGGAGCTCACCAATCAGGGGGGATGGAAGGCATTCCAAATAGAGATCATCTTACAGGAAGAAGAGGTTATAACATTCAGGGAATGGCAGGTTGCCCTGGGTAGACAGATGCACAGCTGTAACGGGTGAAGAGTCTAGAATGGAAGACTAGGGCTAGACAGTGAAAGGAGCACCTTGAATGTCATCATAGGGAATTTGGATATTATGCTGAAGGAAGTGGGGAGCATCAGGAGGTTTTTAATCAAGAGATTGACATGATCATTGCTATTCAGTAGAAAGATCACTCTGGCCACATTATGTGAGATTAGGCTAGAAGAGTTGCGACATAGGACAGGATGACCAGGCAAGAGGTGATGAGGCCAAGACCTTGGCCACAGGGTGGAGGAGATGGCATTTGGAGATGCTGTAGAGGTAGGCTGTCCAGGACCCTTGGAGAGAGGGAGGGCTAGAGGGAGTAGAGTGGAGTGGACTGGGTGGCCAGGAACTCTTCCTCAGGCCTATGCTAACTAATCTGTACATTCTAGATGTGACAGCATGGGGGTGGACTTTGATGTGAAGACTTTCTGCCACAACTTGCGGGCAACTAAGCCACCATATGAGTGTCCCGTGGAGACCTGCCGCAAGGTCTACAAGAGTTACAGTGGTATCGAGTACCATCTGTACCACTATGACCACGACAACCCACCGCCTCCACAGCAGACTCCGCTCCGCAAACACAAAAAGAAGGGGCGCCAGTCACGCCCAGCCAACAAGCAGTCACCCAGCCCCTCAGAGGTATCCCAGTCACCAGGCCGTGAGGTGATGAGCTACGCACAGGCCCAACGCATGGTGGAGGTGGACTTGCATGGCCGTGTCCACCGAATCAGCATCTTTGACAACCTGGATGTGGTGTCAGAGGATGAGGAGGCCCCTGAGGAGGCCCCTGAGAATGGCAGCAACAAGGAGAACACTGAGACACCAGCTGCTACTCCCAAGTCAGGCAAGCATAAAAACAAGGAGAAGCGCAAGGACTCCAACCATCACCACCACCATAATGCTTCTGCGAGCACCACTCCCAAGCTGCCAGAGGTGGTATACCGGGAACTGGAGCAGGACACTCCTGATGCCCCACCCCGGCCAACTTCCTATTACCGGTATGGCCACGTCTGCCTCCCAACTCTGCAAAACTGGTCAAGCGGGGCTTAGGAGCCAGAAAGAGGTGACAGGCAGCAGATAGGAGAGTGGCATGGATAAAGGATAGTGGAAGCACACGGGTACTGCCAGGGCAGTGAGAGGGACGATGCCCCAGCTAATGATAGTGGCAATCACTGTACATTTGCACATGCACTGGGTGCTTTATAGCCACTCCCTTATTTTATTCTCATCATTCTTAGGTAGGTATTGTTCTCATTTCACTTATGAGGAAACCACAGTCCAGAAAGGGGGCCAGACTTACAGAAAGTCACTTGCCAGTAGATAGTTGAACTGGGATTCAAACTCAGGTTCCTCTGACTCCAAAGCTGCACTATTTTCACTGTATCAGAAGATCCCGTTTCTGGTTCCTGACCCTCTCCATTCCATCATTGTGTGACCTTGGGAAAGGCATTCGGCTTCTGGTGTTTTAGTGACCCCATCTGCAGAGCAGGTATATTATTCCTCTGCTGGCCTAAAGGTAAAAGACTACAGGTACTGATTTCATAAGGTCCTAAAAGCAATTTGTAAGTCTGCAGAGGTAATTTTCCCATTATTCTGTTATTGTCACCTATCCTTTAGTATACATGAGCAGTATTTTCATCACCTATGTTTTACACTCCTCCAGTGGCCCTTTTATTGATTTCATTTGTTTCTTGGTACCCTATTTCCTCCCCAAAATTAGTCACAGTGGCTCCTAATAAAGTCACTGGCATAAGGCTAAATTTCTTTAACACAAGGTAAAAATGAAGGGATGGGGGCAGTGTGGTGGTGAAACTACATACAGAAACCCTAGCTGAAGGATGGTCCAAAAACCAAGTGTAAAACTTCTCTCTGAGAGTCTTGGCATCCAAGGCAAAGAGGGCATTTGATGAGTTAATGAGCAGTCTTTGGTGTCAACTAATCATAAGGCCTGATCTCTGAGAAGGACTTGTAAAGGTTTTTACATGAAAGGTAGTTTTTACCAGAAGTGCAATCCATGTGATGTTATTACTAAGTCTTGGTTCTTTAAAAGCAAATCTGTGAGAACCCGAGTGATTTGGCCCAGTATGTCACTTTCTCCCTTGTTCACGTGTTAGCCCATCTTCTCTTGTGTTCTTGGATCTGTTCAGCTCAGCACCACCTCCTTCTGGCTTTCCACTGTGTGTCTCGTTTCTGTGAGGACTGACTGCCATGACCACCTCCAACACCCCGACCCCTCTCTGGGCCTGGCCTCCCTCCTAATGGCTCTTTAGCACTCTCTGCACTGGCAGGCAACCCAGCCCAGCCCAGCTCATTCTGTTCCTTTTCTTCCTCCCACCATTCACATTGATTCTTTTTCCTCGGATCAGATCTGTTCTCCAGGGCAGCCATTCTCAGCTGGTGCACTGCAATCACTTGGGAGGTGTATTGAATGTAATTTGTTACTACTATTAGCAGAACTGCCCAAGTTTTGGAAATGATTTGCTTTTTATATAAATTTGACAAGATTTGAGGTTATCTCTCTAATAACATCACTTTCTCCTGCTTGCCTCAGATGTGCTTTCTTGAGGGGGAGAGGAGGTGGAGCGTCAGCTGGTGTGCCAGGAATTGTACATGACATGCAGCCTACCTTATCTGCTGCAGCCTATAATCTGGGTGCACCGTGGGAGTGTTAGGCACCATCATGTAACATCACATGTGTCATGGCAGAGAAAAGGCTGAGAGCTGGTGCCAAGACCTAAAAGGGGCCCGATGGTTCACACTAGCCCTGAGCCACACCCTTTTTCAAGGATGAGGATGTTGCAGTCACCTTGGGAAAGGGGTAAAGGGCTAAGGAAGAAGCTGCTTCCTATAGACACATCATTTTAGTCTTTCTCCACCCTTCCACCTGCAAAATGCCTTTTAAATGAACAACGCTGAGTGTGTATTTCTGTGTGGTGAATCAGACATGGTCCTTACCTCTATCCTGTAGTAGACGAGTTAGACACATGAATAGTTATAATACAAAGCAAGGTGGCTCAGGGCTATACAAAAGCTAATAATAAAGCTAACATTTATTGAGTACTTGCTTCATTCCAGGTATTGTTGAAAGCACTTTACCTGCATTAACTCATTTAATGCTCACAACAGCTGTGTGAAATTGGTTCAAGATAGCATCACCACTTTCAGATGAGGGAACCAAGGCTCAGGGAGGGAGGTAGCTCACTTGTCTGCAGTCATACAGAGCATGGCTCCAGAGCCTGTGCTCAGCTGGCCTGCTCTAGCACCCAGAGCCCCCATTTTCCTTGTGGAGAGGGGAGGGGAGGGACAGGAACTAACATTTAGCTAGGACCTGCTGTGTGCCACTTAATTCAGCCCATTCATTTTTGTAATACCATTTAATCCTGACAGTATCTTTGGGAGTAAGTAGTAGGAGTCTCATTCTATCATCAATAAAACTGAGGTTCAGAAAAGAGCAGTGATGTCCAGGAGCAGTGAAGGTCACAAAGTGGCAGAGCTAGGATTTAAATCCAGGTTTGTTAGAAGCCAAAGCTCCATTCTTTCCATTGTAGCTCCCTGTAGCTTTACAATACCAGAGTCCAGGCCACCTAGAGTATGGCAAGGGTGTGAGGAGCCTGCTCTGTATTCCAGGCACCTGGAGCAGCTCTCACTTCAGTCCTGCTGGATATGAGTGCTGTAGGGTGGAATTTGAATCCTAGCTCTGCCACTTCCTGGTTGGTGACCTATCTGTCTTTGGCAGTTAATTAACTTCTCAAAGCTTCAGTTTCCTCATCTACAAAATGAGAGCAATAACAACATTGACCATATGGCTGTGGTGAAAATAAATGTGATAACTTACCACAATGCCTGGCTCATCGTAAAGGCTCAGTGAATCTTAGCTATTCTGACTGTTATCTCTCCAGAGAACAACATAGTACCTAGAGTTTGAGGGAGCCCTGAGCTGATGCTGCACCAGCTGACAGAAGACCCACAGCAGCTCCATTCAGAATGCTGCCAGCTAGTGCTAAAACAACTTATATATAATTTCCAAGTGACACCTGAAGACCTTCCTTCTCCTGACTCTCTGCATCATCATCCAGACCACACCAGTGGGTCCTAGCTGCCCCATCCTCCTCACTTCAGGAGTCTAGCTGAGCCTCTGCACTCCAAGGGAGGCAGTGTAGCAGCTAAGACATGAGCTTTGGAGTCTGCAGGCTTGGGTTCACATCCCACCTCTACCACTTTCTCACAAGGGAGCTGGGGCAGGTGAATTAACCTCCCAAACCTTAGGTTTCCTTTGCTGCAAAATAGGAATGATATGGGACCTATAGTACCTGGGATTAAAGTGAGGATGGAATGAGACAACATATATAAAGGCACAGGCCTGGCATAGAGTAAGTGCTCAGTAAATGTAAGCCATTGTCTTAAAGGGAGGGAAACCTCGATCATATGATGCTGAGCTGCCTGTGTGTACTGCAGGTACATCGAGAAGTCGGCAGAGGAGCTGGACGAGGAAGTGGAGTATGACATGGATGAAGAGGACTACATCTGGCTGGATATCATGAATGAGCGGCGGAAGACAGAGGGTGTGAGTCCCATCCCGCAGGAGATCTTTGAGTACTTAATGGACCGGCTGGAGAAGGAGTCCTACTTTGAGAGCCACAATAAAGGTGACCCCAATGCACTAGTGGATGAGGATGCTGTGTGCTGTATCTGCAATGATGGTGAGTGCCAGAACAGCAATGTCATCCTTTTCTGTGACATGTGCAACCTGGCTGTGCACCAGGAGTGCTATGGTGTCCCCTACATCCCTGAGGGCCAGTGGCTGTGCCGCCGCTGCCTACAGTCACCCTCCCGTGCTGTGGACTGTGCCCTGTGCCCCAACAAGGGTGGTGCCTTCAAGCAGACAGATGATGGGCGCTGGGCCCATGTGGTGTGTGCCCTGTGGATCCCTGAGGTCTGCTTCGCCAACACGGTCTTCCTGGAGCCTATCGACAGCATTGAGCACATCCCACCAGCTCGCTGGAAGCTGACCTGCTACATTTGCAAACAGCGGGGCTCAGGGGCCTGCATCCAGTGCCACAAGGCCAACTGCTACACAGCCTTCCACGTGACATGTGCCCAGCAGGCCGGCCTTTACATGAAGATGGAGCCTGTGCGGGAGACGGGTGCCAACGGCACTTCCTTCAGTGTCCGCAAGACAGCCTACTGCGATATCCACACACCCCCAGGTTCGGCGCGCCGCCTGCCTGCTCTGTCCCACAGTGAGGGTGAGGAGGATGAGGACGAGGAGGAGGACGAGGGTAAGAGTTGGAGCTCAGAGAAGGTCAAGAAGGCCAAGGCCAAGTCCCGGATCAAGATGAAGAAGGCGCGGAAGATCCTGGCAGAGAAGCGGGCAGCAGCACCTGTGGTGTCGGTGCCTTGCATCCCGCCACACAGGTATGTGGGGAGTAGGTGGACAGGCTGGTGAGGGAAGAAGAAGCCCTCCTGGAGACTGACAGCCCCCTGGGTGGAGTGACAGAGTTGGGTTATCTTCTTCCTATCAGGAGCTACATAGAAGTAAAAACAAAAAAACAAACCCCACTAAATTCCAAAAGAGGTTAGCTATAGCAGGTCACCTGACTTTTACATTAGGAGCCAGAAAGTTCAGCTTTTATCGCTCAGACCAAACAGGTGTTTTAAATTGCCCTTCATTTTAATGGTGTGGTTTAAGTTAGGAAGAAAGAAGATGGAATAGCCACCAGCCACAATGGAAGAAATGGTCTGACCCTGAAGGGAGAAATGGAATGAAAAAGGGGGAAGGAAACGCTCAAGGAATTGCAAAGTGGTTACTGCCACAAATGAGTCCAAATGAGGGCTGCGGTCATCAGTTATTTTTAACTCTCTCTTGTCCGTATGTATTAGATTTCCTGTAGTTTACTGCTGTACAATTGTATTTCATCTTAAAACCTTCCAAGGCTCAGTCTGAGTAGGGTATCCCAGGGTTAGGTAGTACTCTGGGCTGCAGTGACAAGAGCAGTCTTAGGGGCCAAGCTCCCAGACCCCTTAGTGAACAGGGTTAGGGATCTGGCTTAGTGCTGGGAGCCTGGCTTCCTGTCTGCTGAGGTGCCATCGATGGCACCATTTGCTCTTCTTTTTCGTAAGCTCAGTGTCACAGGCCTTTTTGACAACAGACTTATTCCCTCTTCAGCCCCATTTAGGAACTCTCACTGGCCAGAGACCCCTGTTCTGCTTAAGAAAATCAGGGCCCAAGAGGTTTTTCTCTTTGTTCTCCTGCTTCCCAGGCTCAGTAAAATCACCAACCGCTTGACCATCCAAAGGAAGAGCCAGTTCATGCAGAGGCTGCACAGCTACTGGACGCTGAAGCGGCAGTCGCGGAACGGGGTCCCACTGCTCCGTCGCCTGCAGACACACCTACAGTCTCAGAGGAACTGTGACCAAGTTGGGGTACTGTGTCAGATTCCCTATGGGCTCTGGGAACTAGGGCCAGAGGGATGAGGACAGGTTTGTGACTATAGCTTCCAGTGTCCATGGGCTTAGGCGGTTTCCTCCTTTAAGCTAGCCCTCAAACCAGGCTCAGGATGAAATCCTTACAGATTATCCGCTCAGTGGAATGGCATTGTTCCTATGTGTTCATTCATTCATTCATTCAACAAGCACATATTGAGCATCAGCTCTGTGCCAGGCCCAGGGACTTATAGGTTGAGGAGCTCCCACTTTAGCTGGTGGGCCTGCCAGTAAATCACTGTGCTCCCTCCTTTGGCTTTACCTGCCCTTGACCCAAGTTTCCTGGGCTCTCCCCCCTCTGGTCATTCCTCTGGCTTCCTCATCATCTCCTGACCCCCTTTTTGCCTCTACAGAGAGATTCTGAGGATAAGAACTGGGCCCTCAAAGAACAGCTCAAGTCCTGGCAGCGGCTCCGGCATGACCTGGAGCGAGCTCGGCTGCTGGTTGAGCTGATCCGCAAGCGGGAGAAACTCAAAAGGGAGACGGTGAGTGCTCCTGGGCCAGCTTTATTTTACAGAGGAGTAAACAGACCCGGGAGAAGGAAAAGCATGTGTCCCTGGCCAGGAAGCAACAGGGCTGATGCTGGAGTCACGTCTCCTGGCGCTTAGTGGGCTCTCAGGCCCACCGGAAGCAGAATGTCACAGGAGAGTATGAATGGAACCCTAAATTATGTGATACAGGTAGC